AAATGTCGGAAACTCTCAGAGAGCAGTAAAAGCTTGGGAAAATTCGTGGGAATTTCGAAAGCATAAAAAGTCGGAATGGTAGGATTCTTACTTTTATACAAGGAATGAGGCAAATCCCAGCCGTTGGATTGAAGCCAAATTAATCAAAGGCGTCTAACTTTCGAATAATCTGAGCCACAGAATTCAAAATGATTTTCCTTTTCGACACCTCAGATCTACACGTGTATCTCACAAAAAGGTCTCAGCAATTAGTTGTATCCCAAAAGTCACGTATGCCAATGGTTAGCCATTATTGTGCATTCAATACAAACGGTCGTACATGTATTGAAAATTGTTTCGATATAACTGCCACCTCGGAAACATGCAAAACCATCAAATCACATACATGAGTATGTGTACAAATTAATTAATAACCCCCTCCAGCATCAAAACTGGTATGCCTCTCCCAGCGCCTCTGCTTCAGAATGGCTCACAGCTTCGGCCAGTTCAAAAATGAACTCCCCTCTGCTTCAAAATAGACTACAACCTCGACCAGTTCAAAGATAGACTCACCTTTGCTATGTAAAGTTCCACGACAATACACTACAGACCTCTTAGTTGCAAAGTAAATAGAGCTCGGACCACTTATCAAATTCCACGCACAGTGCGAATATTCATGCTTGAAATTGGGGGACTTATCAAGGTTAAAAACCTCAAAAGTCAGAGGACCTCAAAACTACTTTATGAAGGTTAGGAAACCTCAGTGTAGGTATCCCCCCCTTCCCAAATATCAAGTAATCTAGGATTCTGTAAAAGCCTCAGCTTTAAGAGAACATGCCAATATCCAAAGATCGAGTTAAATCAAAAAGTTACTTCGCGAACGAACTAAGCTCGAAAACCACATCTAAAGTTAAAAAGTGCATGATTTCCAAACAAATAAACAATGATCCTATGCTAGGAATACTGCATTCATTGAGGAAAGCAGACCCAAGGTCTTGTGAAAACTAGGGTAACTTACGTGTGTTGAAAGTTTACAAAAATTAAGATATCTAGATGTTGAAAAGTCTGACGTCTCCACACATTGTGCAAAAATTATTAAAACCATAGTGCTTCAGACATTGGGACGATATTTAAAATCAGGGGTCAAAGGATGTACGACCGCCAAAATGAAATAACATCGGAACGTTCAAGAATTGGTTGATATTTGTCTCGGTATTCCAATACTCCAAAGAGAGTCTGACTCATTCAAGATTCACCATGTTGTTATACTTCAGATGCTAACAAATTGTTAAAGGTCAGAAAACATTAACATGCTTCAAGGTCAGAAGTTAGTAGTACGCAATAGTAAAAGAACAACAAAAGCTGGATAAAGAAAATGATTGGATTTCATGGAATATAAGCTAAATTTCACAACAAAAGAAAGCTTGGACCGAAGTAAGAATAAAGTAACATTCAAGCCTGAGGAGATAGGGGTTGAAGGGGTTTGAAAGGCACTACAGCTCCGACTTTGATGGGATTGGCTTCTTCAGCATTGTCTCCGTTAAGCACTGTGACTTCTGCACCCTCAGCAGGGGTCTGAGGCTCACCACCATCTTCCTCAACTTCCAAAAACTCTGCCCTCAAGTCAGAAGTCTTGGCCTTTCGATTCTGCACCTCAAGCCATTCAATGACTTCGATATAAGCGTACCTCCTGCAATACTCACCAAAGCACCTATAATGCTATTCAGCATTCTTGCTGGCAAGTTCAGCATCACTACGCACGGTCTCAACTTCTTCAATCAAACTAGACATCTGGGACGTCAGCTCCTCTACTTTCTTCTTCAATGAAGTATTTCTTGATTAGCCTTCTTGAAGGACTCAACAGTGAGCCTCTGATGGGTATCGGAGGTCTCTACCCTCTTTGTCAGAATAGCCACATCGCTTTAGGAGGTATGGACTTCTTTTTCAAAGACTCTATCTCAACCAATGCAGAAGCCACATTGGCCATCTCCTCGGCCTCCTTTTTCTTTGCTGCCTCAGCCTCTGTACATGCCTATTTAGCTGTCTCTTTAGCCTGGGAAGTTTTACTGGAAAACTCCCGAAGGAATGTGAAAAGAGCACTGTTGAAGTGGCAAATACCCTTAATGCTCACTATTGAAGTGGCTGCCAGAATAGTGGCCATGTCAGGGGTAGGTACCCTCCTTTTCTCGAAGTTTTCTGTAAACAGTGCTACAAGGTCAGAAATGAATAAAAAGCGATAAATGATCAGATGAAGAAAAAACATTCGCAGAGGTTAAATACACCTCTAGAGGCTATGAGAGATAGGTCTTCGTAAAACTGCTGTGGAGCGACCAAATTGTCGAAGTGTCGAGCTGAGGAGGGTTGACGATACGTATCAGAAAGGATCTCCCAATGACTTCGGTGGAGCTCAAAACGTTCAACGGTCCCTAAGAGGATGACAAACATTGCATTAGTAAAAGGGTTTGGCAAGAAAGTTGAAAACAAAGCTTAGTCTTGGCACTTACTAGGCTCGGAGTAGGAGGTCGAAACTTTAACAAAGGGGACAATGTTACCCTCGCACTCTTGCCACTTCTCTGAACCTAGAACTAGGTTTTCTTCCACCCTTTTATGGAGGAAGGAAGGCCTGTCACGAAGGGAGCATGTCACCCAGGGGCACATGGAATACTAACCCCTGGAATCCCCTTTGCCTAACAACCTAAGCTGGTAGATAGTTTGAAAAACGTAAAGGGGCATATCCTCACCCAAGGAGGTCTACTTCCAAAGAATATAGGACCCAACTAATTGGGCCCAAGCATTGGGAGAAAGTTGGGTAAGATTCAGTCCATACAACCTAAGGACATCTCGAAAAAAAGGGTGAAGGGGCAGACGAAGTCCCTCCTTGAGAAGATACTCACTGATGGTGACGCATCCTTGTCTAGGGTAGTAGGCTCGCTCATCGGGAGATGGGGATAGTAGTTCAATATTGTAGGGAATCCTAAATTTTACCCTAAGGTCAGCTAGCTTGGTGGGATTGGCATTAGAAAGAATTTTGGCTGCCCCCACCCCTCCCCCCAAGTTGTTCCTTCATCCTTACCCATGAACCCTTCCCCCGAAGTGATGTCGTTTCTACCAGCCTCGATAGCCCTTATAGGGTCGGCAGTACTTTCCAATTCACCTCCATCCCAACAACTAGCCCATCAATGCCTACACTATCAGAAGAAGAAGAAGATGTCATTGATCCGGGAACTTAAATGATATTCTTCACGAAATACAGTGAAGATTCACAACACTTACAAAAATACCTTGGTGAGGAAAGAAAGAAACCTCGAAGAAGACACTGAAAGAACTTGTAAATACGAGGAGGACTTGTGGACTTAAAGAAAGTTTGGAGAAGATAAAGCTCGCAGGTAGAAATTCACGTAGAGATAGAAGGAAAAGAATCTTTCTTGAAATCAATTTCCTTTTATAGGCAGACATGCCCAACCTTAGCTGTTGGATCTTAAGCCTCAACATCCAACCGTTCATTCTGAAGCATCTATCTGACCCACTTACGGTGTCTGACATTCCACCTTCAAAGGCCCAGATCTAAACGTAAAGTACAAGCGCCCAAGTGCGTCTGAGGTTTGTGGAAAAAAAGTGGGCAACAGCAATCATTTTGCATTAAATGTGGCAGCTATAGTGTGTATTGAAAGTTGTACTGAAATAATTGCCTTCTCTTGGAAATTGGATACAACATCAAATCACTAAGGACGTCTTGGGTCTCCCAAAATTCTTGGAAACATATTAAATTCCTCGTAATAGCCAATCTGAGGTCGCTCTCTCATATCAGACCCTACCAACTTATGAAATGAATGATGGAACTACGGATCAGAGAAGGGACTTCGGCTAGACATACCAACTTCGGATAGGAAACTCCGAACCTTAGCATACGTAACATGGGCTGGATACCACAGGATAACGATGTATCCCCCATTGAGTAAACCACCACTGAAGATGCTGATATGAGGGTCGACAAAAGTTCATGGCTCCCTTCCTTGTTGAAGAAATACATGAAACTTGAAAGTCCATGCATTACATAAATAATCATGCATAGACTTGGGGGACTATTGTTACCCCCTCAAATCCGAAGGCCCAAATAAGATCGCTACGTAGACGGCCATGTAAGCAGCTGTCAGCATGGATGGCCACGCAAGCGCTTAGCTGGAAAGTCAGGAGAAGTGACGTACTAAGTCAAAGTCAAAGAAAGGAGCTGATATACAAAGTCTTTAATTTCCGAGGTCCTTTAGTGCCAGCAAGAGTTCTCTACAAGACCCTTTTTATGAAAATACCAAAGCTCTTACGTATGGATCAGAGGTTCTTCTAAGCTGTCCGAAACCCTATAGTGTCAGAAGTCCTCCAACAGAGGCTAACCCCGATCCAAACTAAAGCCAACGCTACTTCCCATTACATATTTAGATATCTTTTAGAAGTGATTGATGTGATGTCTACAATTGAGCGTGTCAATGTGTTAGCCTACAAATAGAACGGTGAACCTTCTACCAAACATTAATTGTAAAGAGTTGACAACGATGTGAGGTTTCAGTCTAGGAGATGTCGCCACGTGGATCTAATCCAGCGGTGTCCACGTCGACCAAATTAGTTTAACTAGCCTATCTTTGTATAGAAAAAATGGGAGAGTATCTGTATAACCAAAAAGGAAAACGGAAGAAGATTTACATGCCTTGTCCTATATACATCTCACAAACACGAATGGAAAAGATATATTGAGATTCCAACACCAAATAATCCATATTCTCATAACTATCATTCCACATACATTACAAAAAAAGTGTTAGTTTGGGAAGATCGATCGGGCTTTGGTTAATAGTGCAAGTGCCGTCGAAATCAAACCGCTGGAGTCCAAATATTTGTGTCTCTTGCCAGAAGGTGCCTCCCGCGTCCATTCCAGCCAGACTACCGTTCCTGTCCAGGTAGAAACGCGTCGGATCCGTACTTTACGTGGCAAGAGTATGCCCAACATCTGTCGAGCTCATTTTTTGGAGTCAACAATCATCATAGGTTATGAAACGCAATTTGATGGCACGTAGAGTCTCGAAATCATCATCATCACCATCATCACTATCCAACCCAAGAGGCGGTAGCATCAACAAAGGGTTTAGTATCAGAGGCTCCTCAACCTCCGTCAAATTCACAAATCGTTTATGAATATTGCGCACCAATACAATGTCATCCTAATAATCATCTTCATTCGATTCAGACTCTAACAATGTACCACCAACGCCACTGGAATGGGCTGGTGTAGAGAGAAATCCTTTGTGTTCGTTAGTGTTTGTGGAGGTTAATTGAAAGCTTGCTTCAAAGATTCCATGTCTTCATTGAACCCATCGTCGGAATCACAATTCAAAAGTTGTCCTTCGTCAAACGAAGGCAATTGGAGAAATTTTTAGAGAGAATTTTGGAATATGAAGTTGTTAGGGTTTGTAAAGACAGGGAAAATAATTTAAAGAGAGAATGGACAATAATGGCTAGTTCGAGCGTAAACCCAAACCCATTGGGCCGGACGCAAAGGATCAACTTCAAGTACACTGATTAAATAATTTACTCAATTAGCAATAAATGATGATATAAACAAATAGTCCACTTTTTCAAATTTAATTTTTCAGTGCTTTTCTCACGATTGATACTAGGGATTGCAAATATACCCAAATACCATCCTAGGGATAGGAGGGGGTGGGACTAAACCCGAGCCAAATCTAATTTATATCTTTATTTTTATATTGTATTTAAAAAATAATATGTAAAAAATAAAATAAATTGTAGAGACAATTTAGTCCATATTTGAACCCCATTTTTCTAAGGAAATATATTTTGGAATAATGACTTTTTGGATAATGTGATTAAAAATAGAGAAAAAAATAAGATTTACGTGTGAAATTATTTTATGGGAGAATATGTAATTGAAAATAAATTTTCGAAAAATTGTTCTCAAACGATTGCTTAATTTGCACTATGTTATCATCCATCTTTGGTACCTTTCAATGACAAACATTTTTCTCTCCTTACACTAGCTTTTTTTTCTTTTTACATTAGCGTAATCACTTGTCTTTCAAATCTAGTTAATTCGTGTTTATTAAACACTAAGTCTCTATTTGTTAAGAATTAAAATTAGATTTTTAATAGATTTTGATAAAAATTGATGAAATGTGTGGTTAAAAAGTTGTGAATTTCATAAAATGTGGTTAAAATGAATTGATGATTTTGACTTAAATTAAAATCTAGATTTTAATCCAAATCAAACCAGGGCTGAGTGTCATAAAAGGAATCGATAATGTTTTGCAGAGGCCATCACACTATTTCAAATAAATATGTCACACTATATGAATTGCATGGATACTCTAGGTTGAGATTGTGCTCATCGTTCAATATATACTACATTTACCAACGAATGATTAAATAAACATTGTTGAAAATTAATTTTAACTAAAAATTATTTCTGTTAACATTGCAATAACAGTAATACCAGTAATAATAAAGGGTGCAATAACAATCGAGAAAGCTGCGTCAATAATACCGAAAGTGCCACCAACAGGCAACAACTCATCACATGTTAAGATTATGCCTATGTTTGTCCCCCTTTTTAAAGAGCTTTTGGGGGAAAATAATTTTTGGAATAGTGATTTTAGGAAAATGTGCGGTTAAAAAGTAGGAAAAAATTTGAGTTTACAAACAAAATATTTTATTTTGTGAATGTGTAGTTGAAAATGAGTTTGAGGGGAAAAAAGCAATTTCGAAAAGATGAAGACAAATAGGGGCTGTATATCAAAGTTAAAAGAATTGAACTAGACCGACTAGGTCCACCATAATTGAGAATCAATGCAAATATATTGGGAAACAAAAATTTAAAATAACCAAAATTAGTTGATTTCAAGTCCAAAAATCAGCCAATTCACCCTTAGAATTTATTATTATTATTTTTTTATGGTTATATTGACACCACAATTTTTATTTGATAATTTTGGAATATGAAGGGTTTAGGTTGTGTAAAGAAAGGAGTTAAATTCATTGGTGGCCACCCAACTCTATATGTAGTGTCACTATGACCACCCAATTTGATTTTATTTCACTAAGATCATCCAATTTCATATAACGTTTCATTATGGCCACCCAATTTCATATAACATTACACCACGGCCACTCAACTTCTTTTTACCACTTTCATTANAAAATAAGAACTTATTTTAAAAAAGTTACTTAAAAAAATAAAATATAAAAAGTTATTTTAAAAAAATGTTCTTTAAGAAAATAAAATAAAATAAAACTTATTTTAAAATAAACCTTTTAAGTTTTTTTTAAAAAATAAGTTTTATTTTAATTTTTAAAAAATATATTTTATATATATTGCGAAATTATCAGTTTACCCATTTTAAAATTAATGAAAATAGTAAAAAGAAGTTAAGTGACTATGGTGAATTGTTATATGAAATGGGTGGCCATAATGAAACGTTATAAAAAATTGGATGGCTTTGGTGAAATAAAATTAAATTGAATGGTCCTGGTGACACTAAGTATAAAGTTGGGTAGCCACCAATGAATTTAACCCGTAAAGAAAGGGAAAATAATTTAACAAGAGAATAGACGATAGGGAAAATTACCTGAAAACCTGTAATTAAAAGTCAATTATCATAAATAAGGGAGAGTTAGTTTAAACTTGATAATTGCATTTTAATAATTATAATTAATAAAAATTTAAATTAAACGTAATATACAATATTCACCCACCCCCAATTCATCCCCAAACCATTTTTGTTTTCTCTCTCCTCTCTACCTCTCTACCCACCACACACATACCCACCACCGTCGTCTCTGCTCGCAGCGTCCTTCTCCCTTTACCCTCCCTCTCCCGCTCTTCCAGCGGCTCCTCTCCTTATCTTCCGATGGCTCATTCCCAGCGTCACTATTCCTATCACGCGCCTGCAATCCTCTAACGTGCACCATGAGGGAAACAAAGAAGTCAATCTCCCTCAACAAAGTTTTCAACTCCTCTTTCTTTACTTTCCCAGTCCCTTCCATGTCTATCATTTCGAAAGCTTGAGGCCAGATTGGGATTCGTGGGAGGAAGACGACGTCGTTTGGGAGCTGAAGGAAGACGGATTGGTCTCGGATCTGGAAACGGGCCGTGATTTCTTGGACTTGAAAAGCTTGTTGGGAACGATTTTTATGAACGAAAGGTGAGAGAGAGAGAATGGATAATGGAGTTTTGTGGGAAACAGAGAGGAAGTATCTGTGGTTAAATTGAAGGAGATTGTGGTGAGCCATAGTGAGCATCCTCTTCATTGAGGCTTCGAATAATATCTTAGGATTGATTGCTGCAAACTTCAATGCAATTAAACTTTCTTTCATCTATTTTTTGTCAAATTATTCATTTTTAAATTTACCACTTGGACAGTATTATTACCACGGTGAGGCCCTCGTGCAGACTCAGGAACCAGGTCATTTATAGCATCTTTTGTTGGTATTTTAATTTTATTTCATGTGGGATTTTATTGTTTTCAGATGTTGCTCTTTTCTTCTGCAATGGGGAATGGTGATGGTTGTGGGTGTGGGTGCGGGTGTAAGGATGACTAGATTGATGTGGTGGTGGTGGAGGCGTAGTCTGTGCCGCTGCAGAGTAAGAAGGCTGCAACTGGAGTTGGTGGTGTCGGCGAAGCTTTTCTGATCTATGACCAGATCGCGATTTGACTATCGGGTAATTCGTTGTGATTATTTGTGACCGAATGTGACTGTTTGTGACCGATTGTGCCCTTTTGTGACCGATTGTGATTCTTGGTGACCAATTGTGACTGATTGTGACAAAAAAAATTTGAAAAAATTTGGAAGTTGGCCGCCGGAATGGGCGTTGGGGTGATCGTCGGAATAGTTTTCAGAGTGATCGCCGGAGAGTAACTGGAACGGCCACCAGAGCAATAGTCGGAACAGTCGCACGTAGTGTCGCCGGAGCAGTCGTCGGACCATCGCTGGAATGGTGCCGGACATGGAGGGAAAGTGGTGTAGTGAGGTGATGGGGGTGCGTGAGGTGTCATGAAGTGTAAATAATTAATATATATTATATTATAATTTAATATTTAATAAATTTATTTATCAGCCAATTTTTGAAATAATTAACAAATTTGTTAGTTTTGAAAAATAATTCTTATATGTAGGTTTTGTGTATTGTTCCCTGGACGACAACGGGTAGTTTGAGCGCAAACCCAGACCTATTGGGCCGGACCCAAAAGATCAGCTTCTAGTATACTGATTAAATAATCAACTCAAATAGCACTAAATGATATAAACAAATAGTCCACTTTTTCAAATTTGATTTTTCAGAGCTTTTATCACGATTTTAATACTAGGAATTGCAAATATACCCAAACACCATCCCAGGGATAGGAGGGGGCGGGATTGAACCTGAGCCAAATCTAATTTATATCTTTATTTTTATATTTTGAATTTATATTGTATTTAAAAATAATACGTAAAAATAAAATAAAATAAATTATAGAGACAATCTAGTCACTGTTCAAGCCCCATTTTCTAAGGAAAATATATTTTTTAATAGTGATTTTTTTGGAAAATGTAGATAAATTTTTTTAAATTTACGTGTAAAATAATTTTATGGGATAATGTGTAATTGAAAATGAACTTTGAAAAAAAAAAAATTGGGAAAAATTGTTCTCACTTCTCAAATAGTAGCTTAATTTGCACTCGGTTATCATCCATCTTTGGTACCTTTCAGGGACAAACTTTTTTCTTTCCTTACACGACCTTTTTTTCTTGCTACATTAGTATAGTCACTTGTCTTTCGAATCTAGTTAATTAGTGCATATTTAACACCAAGTCTCTGTTTGTTGGGAATTAAAATCTGATATTTAATAGATTTTGATAAAAATTAATGAAATGTGTGATTGAAAAGTTGTGAGTCTCATAAAATATGTGGTTAAAATAAATTGTTGATTTTGACTTAAATTCAAATTTAGATTTTAATCCAAATCAAACAGGAGCTGAGTGTTATAAAAGGAATCGATAATGTTTGCATAGGCCATCACAATATTTCAAATAAATGTCACACTGTGAATTGGATGGATACTCTAGGTTGAGATGGTGCTCAACTTTCAATATATACTACACTTATCAACAAATGATTAAATAAGAATGGATTAGAAATGCTAAAGAAGAAGCAAAAAGAGAAAAGGACAATGCTAGAATGAAATTGATAAATTTGACAATTTGTGATATGTGCAAAATAAAGGAATATACTTGCGAATTTAGAAATTACTATTATATACAA